CAGCAAGCAGCTTTTTTAAGCTATAATACAACTCCCCTAAGTAGGTGAAGTGATATACACATTCCATAACTTACAGCAGACCAGTTATAGAGCATCCATCATCTTACACTTAATAGGTCTTTACTTGGTTTTTTTGTATCGATAATTGTGTAGTGTCCAAGTACTGGTGGTTTCCTAAGCGTAATTATACAGTTTCTTGTGAAATGTGAAATTTTTTTCCGAAAAACGTTGTCATTATTTCATTGGCTTTTCTGTCTATACAATTAAGAAGGAAATATGCATATGTAATCATTCAGTTCCTTACTGATTAGTAACAAAGATCGTATAAAATGAGACCTGGTGTTCACGGTCTTCTTATTAACATTTATTACTGTTTCAGGAAAACGTTTACAGTTTAGTTGCTTAAACTGAAAGGTGAAATGCTAAAGTATTGAACTTTACTTCAAGATTATGTTATAGCTTATTTAATGGTTGGCGGAGGAATTGAAGATCCGCATTTCGTTCTATTTGGGACTCGTCAGCTGGGTGGACCTGCACCCCAGTGCGGAGTGATGTTGTTCCCACTGAGACTCGAACCTATTACCCATCACTTTATATTCCCTTATTTTTCTAACAATCTCTCCTGCTTTTCCATGATATTCCCCATCGATATAAGACTTTTTGTGTACAGCATTTGACTAGTATACATATATGTAAATTTTTTGTTGGAGGTCATCTGTACTTGGGAAATAGTTGACATGTTCTTCACTGTTATAATTGACAATGATTCAAATCAAGTCGTTTTATACTGTAGTCATGTGGTGATATCAGCACATGAGTAATGCAGAAGTCAGACGTAGAGTTTTTCGCAGGGAAGATGAGACAATTGATGCGAAAAGAAGAGATAATTCAGCGAAGAAACATTCTCTGTTTTTCTATAGGTGTATAATCATAAACATATAACAGTCTACTATAAAACAATAGGCTATAATTGCATCATTGTTGTTATTGTTATTTGTCCTTTGGGTTCCTAGTGGAACATAAGGCTTCAGTAGCACATTACCATTTCACTCTGTTCTCTGCAGTCTTGTGAACCTGGATCCACGACTACCCACAGGCTTTTATTTCTTCCTCACATCATCTCCTCTATATCACCCTCAGCCGGGACGCCTAACTCGTCGTTTCCCCTTTGGATTCCACTCGACAGCCTGACCTGGTCTGATGCGTGATATCCCGAATGGCCTTCTCAGTGTATGTCTAGTCTAATCCATCTCCATTTTCTTCTACTGCATATTTGTTGGGAGATGAGCAGTTGGTTGGTTCGTTGCCAGCCTGAGTTTCTTGTTGCTTGTTCTCATTATTCTGGCCATGTGATCTCCATCTTCAGTGTCGAGTGATTGTAGGCCACAGCTGTTGATGAATGTCTTTAGTTTGTTGGAATGCTTTTCGTAACGCATCTAGTTTCTAAACCATATAGAACCACTAGCTTGAGTGATATGAATGTTGAAAATCCGAATGTTGTTCATGCTTTTTGCTGAGTGCAGTCGATCTCCATATTGATTATTTCGGATTAATGAAAACCTGTCTTGCTTCTCCGATCTTGGCTTTGACATCCTCATCTGTGCCGCCACTGCTGCCACTTGTAGTTGAGATGATGCTGCGTAGGCAGGTGTAGGTGAAAGAGATAACTTCCTTTAGGTTTCTCCGTTGGTGGTGATTGGTGCCTTGTTGTTGATGCTCTTGTTGGTTGGGTATCTTCATCACCTGTGTCTTATCGATATTCACTTGAAGTTCCGTTCTCGCCGTTTCTGTCAGCTTGTTGCTTTTGCCTGTAGATCTTCGGGTTTTTTGCGACATTAGACGTGAATCATCATCGGCGAAATGCAAATCTTCTAGGGTCTTTTCATCGGGCCAGCCAGCATATGCCCCTCTTCTCGCTCCTAACAGTTTGTTGCATGATCCAGTCCAGTCCAGTCGAACACAATCAGGAAGATCATCGGTGATAGTAGACGACAATCTTGTGTTATTCCTGTCCCCTGTTTTCACTTCAAATGCACTACTGAGCTTTCCACTGTTAATCACTTGGTACGTAGTATCATATAGCATATAGCTGCTGTTGAATAAGGTTGATAAAGGTTGTGGCACTAAAACCGTGGTGTTGAAGCAGTTTCCAGATTACTTCTTGGTCGATGCTGTCGAAGGCCTTTTTAAAATTGATGAAGTTGTGGTAAAGATCCAGTTGACTGCCATTTTTATACTCTCTTCTATGATGATGCGTAGCGTTCCAGTTTGATTCGCACATGATTTGTTCTTCCTGAAGCCAGGAAACTGTTCTGGTCGTAATTTTGAATGCAGCGTATCCTTTAGTCTCTCCAGGATGATGTGGCATATGTTGCTTGCGTGTTTAGCCATTTCTGACTGGCTGAAAGACGTCTGACAGCCACTTGGCGATAAACTGGCATGGTGAATTGTTCATCTCCAAAATTGGACGAAGAGAAAGATCTTTGTGGACTTTTGGCAGACCATATAAGCGAGGAGTAACAGAACCAGAAGGTGGCAACTGCTCGAATAGTTCGGGGATGATGATAGACTCATTCTTCATTTCCTTCAGAATTTAGGTGAGCTTTCGTTCATCTTGAGCAGACTCTTTTGGAAAATTTACTCATTTCTGATAAAATGGATACCATTTTTGAGTTGTATTCCGAACGATCCATAAGGGCAATACCAGCGCCTTTATCTGGACGAACTAGCAACAAATCTTTATTTTTCAAGGTTTTATTGGATTTCTTCGACTTTGTCAACTCAATTAATAATGTTAATATATCCGGTGAGCGAATGATTTTTCTGGACGTGGTCTGGGTCTTCACCAACATCCCACTCACGGAAACTATGAATTTTTTTATGTGATTTCATTGAAGGTAATAATTTTCAAGTGAGTATCCCGAAGCACTATATAAAGGAATTACTTCTAAGATGTACTTTCAACGTGCAGTTCAAATTCAATAATGATCTATATAGACAAAAGGATGGGGTTGTTATGGGGTCACCACTTGGACCGTTGCTGGCTGATTGCTTTATGGCGAACCTAGAGAATAGTGTGCTGCGTTCAACAATCGATAGTTTCTACCTATATAAAAGATATATGGATGGTATATTCATCATAACTGATCAAAATACAGATATTGGGACTGTAGTTAAAAAGTTCAGTGACTGTCAGTCATCGATCAACTTCACTCTAGAATTTGAAGTGAACTTAGAATTCCGTTTTCTCGATGTCTGAGTGAAATGGAGACTAGATAGTTCTCTTCAGCGATCAATTTATAGAAGCCTACATGGTGACCTAATCGGTGGAGACTTTTCGTTGGACCTAGAATATGCAGATGACATTGTCCTGTTAGGTGAAGACGCTGACAAGATGCAGAGTCTTCTAAACACTGAGTAGCAATTTGAGAATTTTTGGTATGCGTTTCTCACCACCCAAATGCAAATTGCTGCTCCAGGATTGGTCTTCAACGGTGCCACAGCTAACAATATAGAGTGAAGTGATTGAGTTTGCTGACCAATTCACTTACCTTGGAAGTAGGATCAGCCCTGGTGGGTGGCTGAGTGGTCGATTAAATCTCTGGACGAATACAAAAGGCTCATTTAGCTTTTGCCAACTTACGCCACCTGTGGCGCCGCCGTGATATCCGATTTTCTATTGAGGATCGCGTATACTGCACAGCAGTCCAATCTGTTCTACTGTATGGCTATGAAACATGGCCATTGAAAGTGGAAGATATGATATGGTGTTTGACCACCATTGCCTTTGTAGTATATGTGGCATTCCGTGGTGTGAACACACCATGTGAGTGACACAGAAGTCAGGCTGAGGTGTAGAGTTTTATGGAGAAGAGGTTGACGAGTCGGTACGAGGTAATGAAGCTTGATGGACTGAGATGGTTATGACACGTACTAGGTATGTATGTGTAGTCATGGATTGGCTGGTGACAGAATGTTGGTTGAAGTAGGTGCAGGCTGGACAAAGGCGTGAGATGGTGAGACTAAAAGATGGTATGAATGTATGAAGTCTTTGACTGTTGGTTTGAGGTATGTGGAAGGATGCAATGCAGACTAAGTGGTTGGTTCCCGCGAGACAAGAGAAATCAGTGGTTTGAGACTCTAGGTGATGTATCATGGCTCAGATGCACACACATATCTCGTCATATCATTTTTCCCTCTTCTCTTTTGCTACTTTTTACTTCGTTTGACCAATTTCTCGATCTTCATCTTTCATTTTATCCCCTTGTTACTTGATGTGGTGGTGATTTGAGGTGTGTAACATCTTGAACCGTTGTACAGTCAGTCAGTAATCCTTGGTGATCCTGATGTAGTTTTCTATCTTTTCAACTTTATTATCTACGTGACCAGATCTCAATGCTTCACATAAGTGTCAGTCATCAAATTTCACTTTCTCCTTGAATGTGTGAAGCATAAGTTCTGTAGGTACTTATGAATGACTGTCAACTGTCACTGTAACTTGGTTCCGTAATAAAGCCTGATTTATGCAGTAACACAAAGTTTAGACATTATTATTATTATTATGCTATTGTGTGCGACAATATCCTCTAGATTCCTCAAAGGTGCCTAGAAATCCCTGATAAGCCTTCATAGGCAATCATAACATGTTATAAGTTCCAGAAAAGCCATATGTGTTCATACATGTGAGACTTAAATTGGTTAAAGGGCTCTCTAAAATGGTGTAGAACATTCCCATACTATCAACAAATGTCTATAAACTGTCACTTTTTGTATATATTTTGACTGGACAAAAAACTTTTATTGTTTTTACCGTTTCTTTTCTATTTTCAAGGAACCGAGTGATCCATAAGGGTGTGAAGTCTAAAGTTATCCTTTTACTCTTCACTCCTATATAGTTATATATAGAGTGAGTATGAAGTTATATGATATATAATACAAGTATATATATAGTCATCTTACGTATTGTTGTCTGATCCCCTTTCTCCTCTTCTTCATCTTAGATAACTATGATTTTGGTTATATACAAGCCATCACATTGGAAACACTTAAAAAAGCAATTAAATTATGTCATGATACAATTGATAAAACTGTCTGTGAATACTTTTATTCACGGGCTTCATTGAATTCACTCAACTTGATATTGGATACACATTCAATTGTCAATAGACGAAGACGTCAAGAAGATCGTTGGTTCGCTGTAGCTGATCTGTTATCTTATGTACCTTTACAGCATAAAAGTAATGTAAGTTATTAGTTGACTTGTTTTTTTTCCTGTAAATACTAACTAGTTGACATTTTGTAGATGAGCCCTATCAGATGTGTTCAATGTTTTATGCATTTTAAACATACCTATGATACAGAAGTCGAACAGTTCAATCCAAATAGATGAAATCAATGTAAAACTTTTACACACAAGTCCCATTGTCTAAAGTTGCCACTTTTCACAGTACTATACAAACAACTGGGGGATACGCTTGACTACGAAAAAGAACCTAGAAGATTTGGATTTCACCGTCGACTTATGTCTAATGTCACACAAACTTGAAGATCTGCAGGTGAAAACTAACAAGTTGACAGAAGAGGCAGAACAGCGAAGACGGGACTTCTTTCAGGTGAATGTAAAGGAGACAGAGGTGATGAAGATACCCAACCAATACTACCACCACCACCACCAACAACAACAAGCTCCAATCACCATCAACGGGAGAAACTTAAAGGAAGTAGCCTCTTTCACCTATTTAGGCAGCACTGTTTCAACTACAGGTGGCACAGACGAGGACGTCAAAGCCAAGATCGGAAAAGCAAGACAGGCGTTCATTAGCCTGAGATCAGTGTGGAGATCTACTTCAATGCACTCAGCATGTGGAACAACATCCAGATTTTCAACACTGATTCAATCAAGCCACTACTTCTATATGGTTCAGAGACTTGGAGCGTTACGAAAGACATTTCCACCAAACTACAGACATTCATCAACAGCTGCCACCCACGCTCCTTACTGAAGCTCAGATGACCAGAAAGAATAACCAACAAGGAACTCTGGCAACGAACCAACCAAGAAGCTGTCGCTGAAGAAATATGCACTGGAAGGAAGTGGAGATGGATTGGATTGGGCATACACTGAGAAGGCCGACTAGGGACATCACGCACCAGGCCAGACGGTCGAGTGGAACCCAGATGGGAAACGACGAGTTGGTCGTCCGAGGCGAGGGTGACATGGAGGAGATGGTGGTAGGAGGAAATGAGAGCTTGTGGGCTGTCGTGGAGCCAGGTTTAAAAGATATCAGAAATAGAGTGCACTGGAGATGTGCTACTGAAGCCCTATGTTCCATTAGAACCCAAGGGACAAATAATAAATGATAATAACAATACAAACAACTGGTGCGTAGAAGAAGACTGATATCAAAATAGACTAAGTTTTGTGAGAGAATAAACAATTTCAAGAGTTAGTGCAAATATTCAAGCTTGAGAAGACGTGACAGAGTGAATACATCCTACTCCATTGTGACCGTTTTTCAGTCATGTCAGTCACTTCATCAAGTGTCCCCGACCGCTGGATCCTGTCGTCTGGACGACCCTAAACGTGTGGTCTACATCTCCCAATACCGTTTAAACCAACAGTTAGAGATTTTATCGACTGATGTTAGGGTTTGGTTTAGCCACCCTGAAGCGTTTCCCAACCTAATCCACCTTTCCCTAGCATCGCACATCATTGGAGGCGGTGATGGCTTAGACAATGAAGATTCACAACCTTATCAATCGACTTATCTATCTTGCCTAGTATCCTTCGCTTGACTTCAGTATTGCTGATGTGGTGATTTCATCAGACACAAGTAATTCTATAAAGACACCTGTGATTAAAATCTTATAACTACTTCGCATCTCTTCCTAACGACCACATCTTAGCCGTATGGTAGGACAAAACGGACTGAAGTGGAGTATACTCATTCTTTGATAGATAGTCGGATATCTCACCAATTGACACCATAGATGACACAAGTTGGCAAATGCTAAACGGGTCTTCCGTATCTGAGCTGAGATTTCTTCAGCAACCAACCCGTTTGACAGGATAATACAACTCCCAAATTCAATGAAGTGGTCGACACATTCCACCACTCACTCCTTATCATTAAACTGATAGTATTTGCAGCAGACTAATTATGCAGCATCGTCTTAAAATTAATTGATGCGAAACTCATAGCAAACAATGGCAGACACCACTAGTTGTCGTCAAGTCACTCGAAAACTCTCCACAAACCACTACAGCGCTGCTTGAGTTCAAGTACAGAGCTGTGATTAGCATTAAATCCTTGCTTGGTACACCATTCTTAGTTACACCTCACGATCTACAGAATCAAATGCTGTTTCCACGTTGAGAAATAATGGAAGTGTTAACTGTTGGCCGTTAAGTATGCATGTATTCCGGAACCTGTCGTAAGGGTGAAAGTATGATCGATGTACCCTTGACCAGGTGTGAAACCTACCTTCTTCTATGGTTGCTGAAGTCCTGTTAATGTTCACCAACTAATGTGATTTTGACGTGTGTTGCGCATGCCAAACCTGTGCTTACTTCAACTTAAGTGAAGTAGAAAAGTGACCAAACAAAGGGAGGGGGCATCAGCTCATGTATTCCCTGAATATTGGTCTTGGCTTCGTGGGAAAATGTTAACCTCCTGTTTAGGGTTTCCGTGACATCCGAAATCAATGATTAAGATGAAAATGATGTGACTGAAAGTCGGTAACATTGGCTCAGATATTTGCTGTCATTGTCATCTTCGAAGGCTTGAACATTGTCACTAACTGGCATTCACTTAATCTCTCAACTTTTATGTACTTCGTTAAATTGTTCTATGTTGATTAGTCTGTCTACCACAGATGTGGTCAATTTTTTCTTTCTTTTTCAAATCAACCCCGTGGGTCACGGGTTCGAACCCCACTCCTCCTCCTCCTCCTCCTAACGAGGTTTAGGCATCCAGGTTATAAGTATCATTAGCCTTCATATAATAGGCGTGACTCGTCGCCTGCTGAATGAGTATTTTACAAATCTCCATTATCTTTTATTTTTTTAAACGTTTTACTTATATCTTGCCTATTTCATTGGTGGATATTTTTATCAATTTTACTACTTCCCTCCTTATTTTTTGTTATTCTTCTCTCTTTTGTTGTACCTTACTGTACAGCAAAATGTATAAAAAACATTTTCATACAAAACTGTATATTATGTATGTCTACTTGGTTGTGAATAGCGAAATCTGCTAATAGTCGTCAGACAGATAGTCCCATATACAGGGCTTCAATAGCACGTCACCATTTCACTCTGTACTCTGCAATCTTCTGAACCTGGATCCACGACTACCCACAGGCTTTTATTTCTTCCTCACACTATCTCCTCCATATCACCCTCACCTGGGACGCCTAACTCGTCGTTTCCCCTTTGGATTCCACTCGACGGTCTGACCTGGCGTGACGCATGATGTCCCCGAATGGCCTTCTCAGTGTATGTCTAGTCTAATCCATCTCCATTTTCTTCTACTGCATATTTGTTGGGAGATGAGCAGTTGGTTGGTTCGTTGCCAGCCTGAGTTTCTTTTTTCTTGTTCTCATTATTCTGGCCATGTGATCTCCATCTTCAGTGTCGAGTGATTGTAGGCCGCAGCTGTTGATGAATGTCTTTAGTTTGTTGGAGATGCTTTTCGTAACTTGCCAAGTCTCTCAACCATCACATAGAAGCATTGACTGACTTGATTTAATTAGTGTTGAAAATTCGAATATTGTTCACGCTTTATGCTGAGTGCAGTGGAGTGGAGTAGATCTCCACACTGATTGGTTCCAAATTAATGAAGGCCTGTCTTGCTGTCTGTCCGACCCTAGCTTTGACATCCTCATCTGTGCCGCCTGTAGTTGAAACACCTTATAAGGTGATGGATGCATAAAGAAATAGGTTAGACTTTAACTGGTAACTGAGTCATATTTAGGATAATTGTCTATTCTATTATACACACTGACTACTACTATTTAAGTTGTTCCAGGTAGTTTCCATCCATAGTTCATAAAGTAGTAATTGGCAAGTCAAACATTCCAGTCTTTCATACTTGTCATTATATAATAATCTGGTTGGTTGTGGCTAGCAGAACCCGGCGAGCGTATTTCCTCCTATCTGGGACTCATCAGCTGGATGCGTCTGCACCCCAGAGCGGAGTGATGTTGTCCCCACTGAGACTCGAACCTCGGACCCATCGCTTCAAACGCCAAGGCGTTACGGAGGAAGGGTATCCGCTTCCTGTACAACGGGTAGTAGTTATTACTATTTATTGACATACTTGTTATTCTCCGTTGTTTTGTTGCATCGAATTGTTCGACTCCTATTGGCATATGGGCCCCTATGCGGATGCCACGATATTGCCTGAATGTTAATTATGATAATTTGGTTGGTTGTGGCTAGCAGAAGAATCCAGGACGCAAGTTTCGTCTTATTTGGGACTCGTCAGCTGGAGGCATCCGCATAGGAGCCCATATGCCAACAAAAACCACTGAGAATAACAAGTATGTCGATAAATAGTAGTAACTTATATAGTTGTTATTCCAGGGTGGTATTTATCAATGACTGATATCATTCGGAGGAACAATGGAAACCTGGGAGCACTGGGCAGCTGTTAAGTCCTAATATGGAACTGACTCGTCGGCAGTGCTCACCCATGACCCCACCTCACCGGGGATTGGTGATTGGCTTAAGTTCCAGTGAGAAGTGATGACTGGTGTAGCCAACCGAGTTGAACATGAGGACAGTTTTTCAACGACGGCCTTTGGATGAAGGTCACACCATATCGTGAACTGTATTCTGATTCAGTGGCTCAATGATAACGTGCAGACCATGGGTTCGAAGCCTGATATGAAACAGCTGTCTAGTGCTCTCAGGTTTTCAGTATTCCTTCCACTAATTTCAATCCGCAATGAGTATCAACCTGAAATCAATAAATCCCTGTAAACTTCTAAACTGAATTGTTGTTATTATTGTACGATAAAACAGATCATACTGGTTTTGGATTAAGCAAGATATGTTCATTAGTTCATTCACTCATGTCTTGGGTCTTTTTACACATGTACGCTGTAGCTCTTTGGTTCAGTTGATAGGTTTCAGTTTCAATGGTACTCAGAGACTAAAACTTTGCATAATCATTGTATATAATTTCGGTGGCATTAAAAAATGGAGTATATAAAGAAGATGAGATTTTACTTTAATTTCAATCACTTATATGTTGTCTTAAGTAGTAGGAGGTGTGGACATTATAACGGATCAGAAAAATATACATCAGACTCTGATGCTTCATTTCCTATCCTCTTTTTTTGTACTTTCAACTTTTAAAATGTGGTGAGCAGATTACATTTGCAAGAAATTGAGTCGATTATAATCCTGCCATGAAAATTTGAGGTGGATTAAAACATCAAGATGTTGTGACTGTGTAGTGGAGTTGCGTGCGTGGACATAATGGTAGTGAAACTCAATAGACACCTCAACAGAGTACCTTTACGATTGACCTCCCTCAGTACCTTCTGCTTCACTGAGTCACACAAAATCAGAAGACAAAAGACGACCTATGACTGGAAGAACAACGACCACTTTTATTAGGCAAATACATGATATACATGTATTTACAAAACTCTCAGAAAGTGAAGCCATAAATGAACCAATCAGATTTCTTGTATGAGGTCGAATTTCTCCAATCAGGTTTTTCTATGTCAGCGCATGCATAAATCATGACTTGAAAACAACTCCCCTATTGGCTGCCTTTTAGTCCCTACGTATCACAAGAGGCAACTTGCCAGTATCTCATCCTAATTTGTAACTATAATTGGCCATGAGAAAAGTATCTTATCTTATTTAAGGCTTTTGTAGGATAAGGTGAAATGCACACAGATTGCTATCGTACGTATTGTAGTTCAAAATGTCTTTAAATTACCCGAATAATAAATTATTCTTTTACTTATCTAGTTCTTATATGTCTTTACTATTTATTGATATGCTTATAAATTCTCCATTGTTGTACTGGATCGAATTATTCAACCTCTATTGGTATATGGGCTTCTCTATGCGGACGGCCTAGTGGATAACGCTTTGGCGTTTGAAGCGATGGTTACGACGTTCGAGTCTCAATAGGGGGACAACATTACTCCGCTTTGGGGTGCAGACACACCCAGCTAACGAGTTGCAAATAGGATGAAACGCGCGTTGTAGATTTCTCTGCTAGCCACTACCAAGCACATTACCATAAGGTGTCTTTGTTTGATAAACATTTGCATTTCTCTTCTATGCAATACTCGGTGCTTTTGTCTGTGTGTGTGTGTGTGTTTAATATCGTTATTTTGTTTCAATTGTTTAGACTGACCAATCACTTTTCAATAAATTTTCACCAATCACTGCATTTGGTATTTTCGATGGTCATAATGGTCCTGAAGTGGCTGAGCATTGTTCTCATCTTACACCATATCTGCTTAGTTTAGAATTACAACGACATATTCTCTCCTCTGGTATACATTGTAACTATTCTAAGTCTATACCAGATATATTGGCTGAAGTCTTTCATCGATTGAATCAATCAGCTAACAATGGAAGAGCACAAAAGGTGAGTGTAACACTTTCTGGACAATTTTATTGTTATCATTATTATATATTGCTTATATGAATTTCAATAGTTAATGTATTCGTCTTAGTGTGTATGTGTTAGGTAGTTGGGTGCTGAAGTATCAACATCTACGTGTGTGTGTGTGTATGTGCGCCAGCCAAAGCAAGAAATAGAGAAGCTCATGTCTCATAAGAACTAATGTGATCACTAATCAATTAAATTATTGATCTACCTTTCCTTTTTTAATGTTGTATCATAATGTCGAATTACTGTTCACCCCTTCTTCAACAACTAGACAGTTCAAAACTTTTAAAGCCAACTGTTCGGAAATCGCTTGTACAACGTAATGGGAAACAGAGAAAAATGGTTACGTCATTTATGGTTACTTACAGGTTGTGAATACTTCGTTCTTTGCCAAAACTATCGTAGATTATCGATCCCTCGAAATAACCAACATATGATTTCGTCGTCTTCACTGTAATCGTCTTTTTACTTATGATCAAGATATATGCAGATATATAGATTTTGAATGGTTGTTGTCAAGGTTATCATCTGCAGTTGTTGGATGATTAGCGCTTGTTAACCAGAAATGCATTATGCGATAACAGTGTTGTTAATGAATACTAAGCATATTGAAATCGTAAACATGTTCAATTAACCCTACTCTATCCACTGTGGTTTGGGTAGCTAGCTAGGTAGTAGTAGTAGTAGTTAGTATCATTAGCCTCCACACAATAGGTGTGGCCAATTTTACCTAATGCACAGTTACGCTTACGTAGTCATCATCTGCCTCATTGCATAGCTGAAATAAGGCTCGATGCAGTCAGATTAGAATCCGTGCGTGAAGTCTTTGACCGTTGGTTTCAGGCGTGTAGACAGATGCATACACTAGCTGGTTGGGGGTGTTTTGTTAAGTGAAGACGTTGACAAGATGCAGAGTTATCTAAACACTATGAGTAGAAATTTAAAAATGTTTAGGATGCGGTTCTCACTACCGAAATGCAAATTGCTGCTCCAGGACTGGTCTTCAACGGTGCCACAGCTAACAATATAGAGTGAAGTGATTGAGTGTGTTGACCAATTCACTTACCTTGGAAGTAGGATCAGTCCTGGTGGGTGGCTGAGTGGTCGATTAAATCTCTGGACGAATACAAAAGGTTCGTTTGGCTTTTGCCAACTTACGCCATCTATGGTGCCGCCGTGATATCCATTTGTCTACTAAGGGTCGCGTATACTGCACAGCAGTCCGGTCTGTTCTACTGTATAACTGTGAAACATGGCCATTGAAGTGGAAGATATGATATGGTGTTTGACCACCATTGCCTTTGTAGTATATGTGGCATTCCGTGGTGTGAACACACCATGTGAGTGACACAGAAGTCAGGCTGAGGTGTAGAGTTTTATGGAGAAGAGGTTGACGAGTCGGTTGACGAGGTTATGAAGCTTGATGGACTGAGATGGTTATGACACGTACTAGGTATGTATGTGTAGTCATGGATTGGCTGGTGACAGAATGTTGGTTGAAGTAGGTGGAGGCTGGACAAAGGCGTGAGATGGTGAGACTAAAAGATGGTATGAATGTATGAAGTCTTTGACTGTTGGTTTGAGGTATGTGGAAGGATGCAATGCAGACTAGGTGGTTGGAAATTGACTTTAGATGAAATATCTGTGAACCGATGTCATTGGCGCAGATGTATACATACATTATCTTTGTCTTAACTACACTACTGAACTCAGTATTTTCTTCCTCTTCCTTCCTCCTGTCTTTTTACCGTTTTCTACCGGTTTTGACCTATTTTTCTCTTACTTCCTAAAAGCAATTTTGGTCATCTAAAAGAGGTTAATCGAGTGAAGTTTCATCTTTCCTTGAAAAGCTGAAGTCTTTGACCCACTTAGCTTCTGTTATTCATGTTACATTCTTGTTCCCAAACCACCATTTATATTTTTCTACAAGTTGGTGGGTGAACAAAACGTTTCAACTGAAGAAGCATAATCCCATTACTAAATTCTAATTGATTTATCAGTAATTGGATATTTTTGAGCGTGTTTCACTAGGTTGGGCTGTTTGAGTAATATTTCTATAGGAAGAACAAGTAGATATTTCAGTGAATGAATAGCCTCTTTTCTTGGCGATTTCATTTTCAAAACAGTAAACAATCACAAATGTATACATTTTTCCTAGTCTAAGGATTTGATAATTAAAAATGGTTTGTCAAGCATGTCCAATCAACATGAATACTGTTAATCAATGAGCTGTCATTAAAATTATTGAATTTTGAGGGGGTTGTGGAGATTTGGAATTATTTCAAGTTGTTATTCATCGTAGACTGATATCAGTTGGAGGAACAAAGGAAACCTGGGAGCACTGGACAGCTGTTTCGTCCTAGTATAGGACTCCTCAGCAGTGCGCACCCACGACCCCACCAGCAGGGATCGAACCCGCGGCCTTCAGGTTCCCCGGCCAGCGCGTTACGATTGAGCCACTGGGTCAGAATCCAATGCTCCATATTTCCAAGTTCTGTTAGCTCACGATATAGTGCAAACCGCCACCCAATGTCATCGTGAGCTAACAGAACTTGGAAATATGGAGCATTGGATTCTGACCCATACTAGGACGAAACAGCTGTCCAGTGCTCCCAGGTTTCCTTTGTTCCTCCAACTGATATCAGTCTTCGATGAATAACAACTTGAAAAATTATTGAAAACAAAAAAACCCAGAAAACTTCGATAAGTAGTGAACATTAATCAGAATAAGTTTGAACAAGAAGATGTTTCGTAACATGATGACATAATTGAAAACTGAATTTTGTGATCAGGCAGAGCATAACAACAAGAATGAGTAGCGAATTGCTTAAGAAGTGAATAGTATCAAAACAGAAAGATGAAAAGAAAAAAAAGGGGGGGAGGGGAAGTAGGAGAAGAGGTTGAACAATCTTCTTTGGCGTACCCAGTTCAGGCTTCTTCATATGGTGGTGATGCAGAGAATACGAAAAGATAACGCCTTTAAGAGGTTTCTTTTCAGTTTATAGATGAATTTAAATGAGGTGGTTTTTGAGATAGAATGATTTGTGTTCACGATGTGTTCAGTTGTAGCACACCTTATCGCTTTATTGTCGCCTCTTTGTAACCATGTGGGATAATGCTCTTCAACCCTTTTCGATATCAGTCGCATCGAATGATCTATATATACCTGACTGTACAAAAACAAGTGGATTGATATATCCACATAGAAGTGGTCAGATGCCAGAGTTTCTCTTTTAAGTTGTTAGAAATCGTTGGGCGGGCGACAAGCTTTATCCACTAGGGCATGAGAGCCATCACCTACTCAACGAGTATTAATTGTTCCTTTTTGATACTTGCAACAGATAACAAGTAAAGTTGTGTGTTAAATCAAAACAAAAAAAGGAAGACCATTAGTCTAGATACTATCACTAGGTAGGCTTTCTTTTAACATGAAAGTCATCTTTTGATTGGATTAAAAATCAGTCTATCAAATCAAGATTATTTCATATGTAGCACGTTTTTCTTCTAAAAGTGTAACTTCTCGCTGTTTAGTAGTTTCTTCACTGTGATTACTGATGTGATATTTTGATTTTACATCTCTGGGACTGAATCAGTTGTCTTGAGAAATGTAGTCACGCCTTAATAATACGTTTCAATAGATAGGAAACCCTGGGGCAAAAATACTTGTCAACTATCTGCAATTAGGAAAAGACAAGACCATGGTTACAGAGACAAAGTCATTCACTAAACTGTACTTTTGTGAATATGTGGGCGGAACGTTCGAGAATTATTTCCGGTTAGGGGGACAAAATATATTGAACATTGAATAGCATCGTACCGCTTGTGAAACATGCCCCATAAACAGTACCTGGCCTGGCTGCCAAAATGAGAACGGAAATGTATCGTGTAAACTCAAGCCACTTAGCTGCTTTTGAGAACTCATTCAAAATTTTCTACAGGGTTCGATCAAACCACTGGAAGGGAATAAGATCAAGTTATTTGTCTATAGCTGAGGCACTAGCCATCCAGTAGTTCAATCCAGAGTTATGCGTCTAAAAAAGGTACGTTCAATCTTTATCTTTGTTATGGCCATTGTAAAGCCTTGACTATCATAAATTCATCCTGTATTAGGTAGTTACAATTTTATTTTCATAACCTTTAGCTCATTTGCCTACTTTGTCATACATTCATTCATCCTGTATTGCATAATTACATTTAATTTCATACTCCCTTGTCTATTTTCCCACTCTAATCCCAAATGTGTATTAATTAACTTCCTTTAGTTATATTATTATTTTTTTATTAGTCCCTTGGGTTCCTAGTGGAACATAGGGCTTCAGTAGCACGTCTCCATTCTACTCTGTTCTCTGAAATCTTTTGAACCTGGTTCCACGTCAGCCCAGAAGCTCTCATTTCCTCCTCTCACGATCTCCTCCATGTCACCCTCGGACGTTCAACTCGTCGCTTCCCATGGGGATTCTACTCGAGGGCCTGACGCGTGATGTCCCCAGTCGGCCTTCTAAGTGCATGCCCAATCCATCTCCACTTCCTCTTGCATATTTGTTGCGTGATAGGTTCTTGGTTAGTTCGTTCCCAGAGCTCCTTGTTGCTTATTCTCACTATTCTGGCCATCTGATCTTCAGTAGCGAGCCAGTGTAGGCAGCAGTTGTTGATGAATGTCTGTAGTTTGTTGGAAATGCCTTTCGTAATGCGCCAAGTCTCTCAACCACCATACAGAAGCACTGACTTGACTGGATTGGTGTTGAAAATCCGGATGTTGTTGCACATGCTGAGTGCAGAAGATCTCCACACTGGTTTCAGGTTAATGAAGGCCTGTCTTGCTTTTCCGATTCTGACTTTGACATCCTCGTCTGTGCCCGTGGTGCCTGTAGTTGAAACAGTGCTGCCTAAATAGGTGAAGGAGGTTACTTCCTTTAAGTTTCTCCCGTTGATGGTGATTGGAGCTTATTGTTGTTGGTGGTGGTGGTAGTATTGGT